TATTAAAGAAACGAGTAGGCACAAAAAAATACAAGGATTTAAATAAAAATAAAAAGATGATCTTACAAAGACCTCTAGTGGTGTTTTTGGTACTGCCGTAACTTAAAAACTACACCATCACCTCCTCAATCTCACATAACCTGCTACAGCTTTACTCTCCTGGTTTTTCTTGCAGCAAAGTCATCTACAACATCATCATATGACAACTGATTTGAGACCACATGGTTTATGCTTATAATGGCAAGTCCACTGAGACGTTCTTGCATCATAGTAGATCTCAGGTAAGTTTTAATCAGTTTGAGCTTAGAGAAGCTTCTTTCAGCAGCAGCCACTGTAACAGGAAGAGTGGCAGAGATTCTCAAAGCAACCCACATGTTGGGGTAAATTTCTGCCAGCTTCTTCTCATGCAGGAAGGTCAAAAGTTCCATGTTTGTCATATTGTTTGATGGCAATGGTGGGAAATTCTTCATTTCCTTTGCAAGTTCTGTGCCATCAATGTCCGGCTGGCTGTCATGGGTCAGAGCAGTACTTAGGGTTTGACACTTAATAATAGCTTTATTGAAAACAATTTATATTAAAAAATGAACACAGGGCTTTTTTTTGTCAGGGCCCTTAAAACACTGTCTCCCACACGGAGTACCCTCCTTTTTTACATGCTGCTGAAGTTATGGCTTAAGATGGGAAAGCCCTACTGGTGGGGTCATCAAGGTAGAGTACCTCACATTTTCTCCATGTGCCTGGACCACAGTTGTGATGACTTCTCCAGTCATGCAAGTTCTCTTGTAGTCACATGACTAGAGAGTCTTCATAACTGTGGTCCAGGCACATGCAGTGTAACACAAATAAATTAAATAATAATTTAAAAAAAAATTAATATTGGGCATTTAATCCTTTAGAATTACTGAATTTATGAACTTGCTTTACAGATTGAGATGATGAGTCTCTAAGATATGGTAATAAAGATTAAACTACTCAAGAGTATATAAAATAGTTACGCAGATCATCTTCAACCATATACAGTGGGTACGGAAAGTATTCAGACCCCCTTAAAGACAGTGGGAGGAAGCCAGAGAACCCATGCAAACTCTGTACAGAAAGGCCCCGGGTTGGCTGGGGCTCGACCGTGGCGCCACCGTGCTGCCCAACACTTAGCTACAGTGTTGAAATTTCATGCATGCTAGCTAGTTAATGTAATGTGACTACACTTGCCTGACAGGTTGCAACACAGTTTCAGAGCAGCAGTAGTGGAAGCAGCGCCTCATCTTTTCCATGTTTCATTACCAGGATCCACCTGATGGCAGGGAGGCTTCCTGTGGGCTCACACAGAGTGGTGGTTGCCAAGGAGATGGAGGCTGTCTTTGTGCAGAACCTAAGCTATGCTGCTGATCTCCTCTCAAAGGTAGCTGACCTCGTGTGTCCAGCATACCCAGAACATCAGCACTATGACTGGAGTAACCTGGATTTCTGCTGCAGGATATTGTAAAGAAAAAATAGGATACATCTAATAAGAAAACAAATAGAAGATATGAAAATATGATTCAATTGAGTTCCTGTATAGGTTATAATATACAACTACCGTAATTTCCGGACTATAAGCCACACCCACTAAATGTAAGATGAAAAACATTTTGTACATAGCTGCAGGTGTCCACTTTGTAACATGAGATATTTCAACAGCCAGATCGATCGCCTGTAACTTGAAAGCTGCATCATATGCATTTCGTTGTGTGTTGCCCATGATGAGGGTGTGGGCATGAAGCGACAAAAGTAGCGGCTTATAGTCCAGAAAGTACGGTAGACAAATGCGTTCCCAGAAGAAAATACGTGTGGATGCTGTGTGTGTCTTACTGTGTGACCGTTTGTGTGGTACCATGTTCATTTTAATGTTTCTGTTTTAAGCAATTAAAATGTGTGCCTCACCCCTTTTCCCTTGCCAAGCTGCATTAACCAATAGCAGAAACCAGTAAAAATTCTAAATGTGTCCCTATACAGCAGGTGGATACACTATATTTCCCTTGTTTCTACAGAGCCCAGTTACAGAGGTAAGGGCATTGGGAAGGAGGTGACACACATGATGATGTGCTACAGTGATCACCTGATCCCATCTTTCAGAAGGTTTTGAGCAGGAAGACAGAAGCTTAAAGTCACCAGGTAGAAGTTGAAAATTTCCACACCTCTTGAATTACTGCCCATTTTTTGCAGTTCAGTCTTGTGCCATGTTCATCATTAGTTGGAGAATCAACCTGTGGTGGAGCAGGAAACAATAAATGCAAAATCTCCATCATGAGAATGCAGACAGCAGTTGATGAGATACTGAGGTTTAGTGTGAGTCACCTGAATCTGATTAGACAGTGACAGTCCAATCACAGAGTCAAAGTCAAATTGTCCAATCAGGTGGTAGCTGGGTTCTTCAAGTTAGTCTCCGGTGGCAGTTCTGGAAATTTGGTTGTAGATTCAAGATGGATGACAGCCGTAGTTGACGCTGACAGGTGGCTGTAACGAGCTCATCGGTGTGATTCACTTCACCTGTCAGTGGTCATAATGTTATGTGTCAATGGTCAGAATTCCTACTGGTAATGTGAGTTGTACTGCAATTTGCTGCATTCTATCTGTATTATTTTCCTACCAACATACAGTACATACTTTTTTGCGTAATGGAATCTATTTGGAAATAATTTGAATGTGTTAGGTTAATGTGCAGTTTTTGTGAAATCAGCCCCCTCATTAAAATGCACATTTATGCAAATACCTATCAGACCATCTACTGTATAAGTCTAGAGTTTCTGCTTTGAATTGTTCCAGACTTACTGTGTTAAAGAGCACATTCTATTGCAGAGCCACAGACAGCAGCATGAACATAATGTCCCATCTAGGCTACCGTAGTAACAGGACATATAAAAAGTTATTATGAAATAAAAACAGACTTAAAAATAGCACTTTGAAATAATAATTGTCCATAATCACAATAAAAATAACCCCTAAAAACTCTATTAAGAATGATGAAATACCATTTCAAAATAATGACTTCAGTTTTAATATTTCTCGAATGATTTCACAGATTGTCTGCGCAAGTATATTTTACACAATTTATTCTTATGATTATTAATTTCAGTGTTGTTTTTATTTATTATCATTATTGAACACTCTGGGTTTCCATAAAAGGCTTTAAAGTTGTAAACCAACACCAGGTGTTTAGGTACTTGCATATTGATACAAACCATTGCTATGAGCTGCCCATAATGGCTATAAGTTAGCAGCTACAGTAGTTTTCCTTTCAGCAAACAGCCATAGCAAACAGCAACATTTTCATAGTATAAAATCTTTCTCCAGCAGCCAGACAGACAGAATGTCAAACTTTAGTTCAATTTGAGTTCACTTTCATTATTCTCCAGTCTCTTTGGAGTGCAGTACAGTCAGTGAACGTTTCTCTCCGCTCACTCTACAAGTACGTGAACCTTTTGGAATTTCATGGTTTTCTGCATTAATTTGTAATAAAATGTGATCTGATCTTCATCTAAGTCAAGAGTACTGACAAATATAACGTGCCTACAAAAACACAAAAAATTCGGATCTTTCATGTCTTTATTGAAGACACTCAGTCAACATTCAAAATAGTAGTGGAAAAAGTAAGTGAACCCCTGGAACTAATAAGTGGTTGACCCCCATGGCAGCAATCATCTCAACCAGGCGCTTCCTGTAACTGTGGATCAGACCTGCGCATCATTCAGGAGGAATTTTAGCCCACTCGTCCTGGCAGAGTTGCTTTGGCTCCGACATATTCTTTGGACGTCTCCCGTGTATGGCTCTCTTCAAGTCATTCCATAGCATCTCTATTGGGTTGAGGTCTGGGCTCTGACTTGGCCGCTCCAAAAGGTGGATTTTGTTTTTCTGAAGCCATTCTGTTGTGGACTTGCTCCAGTGTTTTGGGTCATTGTCCTGTTGCATCACTGAACCTCTACAGAGTTTCAGCTAATGTAAGACATTCTCACATTATCCTGAAGAATTTTTTGCTACACTTGGGAATTTATCTTTCCCTCAATAATTGCAAGTTGGCCAGGCCCTGATGCAGCAAAGCAGGCCCAAATCATGTTTCCTCCACCATACTTTATGTGTGGGATGATGTTTTCATCATGATATGCAGTGCACTTTTTACACCAGATGTAGTGCTGCATGTTCTTTCCAAATAGTTCAATCTTAGTTTCATCAGTCCACAAAACATTTTGCCAATACTGCTGTGGAGTGTCAGTGTGCTCTTTCGCAAACTTCAGACGTGCAGCAATGTTCTTTTTAGTAAGCAGCGGCTTCTTCAGTGCTGTCCTGCCATAGACACCCTGCTTGTTCAATGTTTCACATACTGTATGCTTAGGAACATACAGTAGATTTTATCCAGTTCCAATGATGCCTTCAAATCTTTGGCTGTCACTTGAGGTTGTTTCTTTATCTCATTGATGAGTCTTCGTTGTGCTCTTGGGGTCATTTACAGAGCAATACAGAGGAACGTAGACTGTATACATAATCTTCACTTTAAAAGTAGAGTGAAGATTATAAGTATAAAAGTTACAAAAAAGCTGAATACAAGCCATCATGTCCATAAAAAGCTGAACGTTTTGATATTTGAATGCTTTTTCTAGCTTATTCAGCAGTGAAAAATGTACAGAGGAAATCAGAATAATAAAGTACAGGATAACAATAGTGTGGATGCTGATTCAGCATCCACACAATAACACATCACACAAACCATAAAGTGGATCATACCATTTCCACTCCTTAACGTGTGCCTTTTGACTTAAACTGCTGCCAGTAATATCAATAATGAATATATAAACATTGTGATTATAATTATTACTAGTATTTTTACGTTGTGAAAATTATAAATAAAGCTACATTTGTTATTTGGCCAATTAGGGGCAGCACTACCTGAAAATACAATGGGCTGAATACCCCAACACCACCACTACTAGTGGTTCTAGTGTGTAGCTGTAAAGTGTGTTGGTTCCCCTACTGCGATTAACGTTTGTAGGTCTACTGAGCATGCGCAGAGCCGCTGGTCGCCTTATTTCCAGACATCATCACTGGCTCAATTGAACATCATCCTGAGAGAGGGGTTTCTTTCTTTATTCTTCTGCGCTCTTTCATCGCTTCCGCTGCTGCGGTGTCAAACAACAGCACGGAGGGAGTAGAAGCCATAAGATGAAGAAACGTTATGTGGACGCGAACAGGCTCCGGAAAATGAAAAAACTGAAAATAACCGAGAAGCTGTCTGAAAGGTAGCTAGCGCTGCGAGCCGCGTCGCCTACCGGAGCGAGGCTGCTTTTGTTGTGGTCTTTGTGTACATTTCATCGAGCTCACCTGTCTGCCTCGCATCCTATCACTTCATCCGTGTCTCACATTTTATATCAGACAGCCTGGAGCTTTAATACAGCTCAGTTACCGAGGCGGGAGCGTAGAAATCATGTGCCGCGTTACTTCAGCCTGTATTGTTTACAGAAAGACGGAAATCAGCAGCTGTGCAAGTTAACGACGGCCTGCTTTCATTTCGGGCTGCTTTTACACTGTCTCCTGTATGCTCAGGTCAAATTATATGCACATTGAACGCACTGTCTGTCTTAATAATAATTCCATTTTCTTGTCAGATTAAGGGAAAGCACATCAAAGCATATTTTGAAAGCGTCTAGACAGTCCAGACAATAAAAAGAATACAAGAGGAAGAAACCCCTTGTTTTAATTGTGCATTTTTGTCACACAAGCAAAACAAAAAATGAAGCTACGGTATCTATTTGGAAAATAGAACAATGCCTTGTTTTAAGGATTTTTTTATTGCATAAAATGCAGTCAATTTGTGACATTAACATGAATTTTGAGGTTTTATAGATTTACAAAACAAATTTTAATTTAAAATACAATATATAAATTAAAATACACTCAGTAACATAAGGCAAATCTAAACCTGGGAATTTAAGATGCTGTGGTGCTCCCTCTGTTCCACCTCATTCTTCCAGATTAAATCATTTTGCTAATAGTAAAATAATTGCTAAATAACATGCATGTTTGGCAGCTAAAAAATACCTGTGATCCAAATTGAGATACACTTTCATCAGATAGGCCCAAACTTAAATGTGTAATGGGATGCTGTGGTGCTCCCTCTCTCCTCCAGATGAGATATTGCCATGGTTACCTAACAAAGAAGGGCCAATGTGATATCAGCCCATGGCTGAGGAGAACAAAGGAGGAAACCACAGCTCCCGCTTTGCTTGTGGTCGCCTAAGAAAATGAATAGGGAACAGTGATTGTTCTTGAGTGCCTCCCCTAGAAAGGATCGATTGTGTTTTTTAACATGCAGCTAATTGGTTTGTGTAGCCAGTCTCCAATGTTGTATTATTTTGTGTGTGTTTAAGTAATGAAACTTATATCAAACCATAATGAACAATTTTAATGTTAATTGATGTCTTTTATGTTTGATATTGGGAAAAAAAATTGTCAAAATTCCTACAACAGAGTGAGGTAAGCTTACCTGTGATACTGACCTGGCACAAGATGCCAGAGTCTGTCTGGCTCTTCTTATTCTGAGTATGGCAGAGGAAATGCAAGGTACAGCGCTCTGTGTGAAAGACATTATGTTTGCATGTTTTGACTATGTCCACATACCTAGAATTATAAATAGGAAGTGCTGGGGACACT